TAAAAAAGAAAAAATCAATAAATTGCAACTGAATTTTTAATCTGGTTTTATTAGGACAGCTAGACGGGTCAGTAAAATCACAATGAATCATGATTTTTTTTTTAATTGACCCGATTCCAGCGCCAAATCAATCAAATCTCAGGATTAAGTTACAAAACTAAAAAAAACCTAATCGGCTGGAGAAATTTGGAAGACTTGCGTGTGTTTTGTTTATCCTTGTAAACTAATATGATTTTTACTGTGATACTTAAAAAATTTTAAAAGTATTTTTTATTTTTAAAAAATATTAAAATAATTTTTTATTTTTCATAATACTAAAAACCATTAATTTAATATTTTTTAAAACCAATCATGTTTTTAAAACGTTATCAAACACCCAAAGTTTTAGAATTAATCTCTCCACGTCAAATTATATGGAGGTTACATTGAACATCAATTAAGACTCGATCTCACTACGGGACACGTCATTAATATTAATCTCTTGATAGTTATAAAATCTAAATTTAAAAAATCAAGAAATTAAATAAATCTCCATAGCCACCAAACCATCATTTCAAAATTAAAAACCCAACTACATATCATTAATGCAATCTTTGAAACTTGAGTCTTGTAGCTCAGCCATGAGGTGGTGAGCTTTCATCTAAAACACGAGGCAACTTTCTTTAGAGTACAAGCGACCAAAAAAAGGAAATGAAAGAAATGCAGATTTGGGCAAATACCTTCCTTATTGGATATGGTATAAATGAAGAAAACCTGTAAATGAAGTTGCCTCTTTTAATGGGCAGATAGAGGTCCTTGGAACAATAAATTGTAGTATTGGACCACTCATTTTTCAATATATTATCTTGTATATTTTATATTTTTTTTATTTGAAATTATATCCAAATAAAAAGAATTTATTTTTATATTTTAAATATCAGTATATCGAAATTATATAAAAAATACTAAATAAATATTAATTTAATACTTTTTTCTCTCTTTTTTTACCTCTAACTAAAGGGTGCCTACCTGCCTCTATCCTCAACAATGGTCCCATGTGAGGTGGGAGGTTCTTCCTGCCTCAAATGGGACCTAGGTAGGCCGATTAATGCATTATTTCCTTCGTACTGGGTGCTTGACTACTCGAAAGACTCTATAACAAGAGGGATGATTCATATTTTGACAGATCATATTGTTTTTGAACTTGCCTCCAACGAGCAGAACCAAGGTCCCATCAATGGCTGCCTTTGCTCTTGCATTTTGACCTTGGTGAGGGGAATATATTGTTTGCTTTTCCTGTACAAACGAAGTAGAAGTTTCGTCTTCGTTAAAGGACTCCCTTGTATTGTAGTTTTATATTTGAATTTAAGATGCAAAAAGTCGTGACAAAAGAAACTGTTTTACAATGTATCAATATTTTAATTAAATATGATCTCTCTTAGTTATATTGAAATAGAATTTGGTAATTTAAAATTCTCACCAATAAAAGTTTCACTAATTTACCAAGAAATTCACGTTTATTCTCTTTTTATTTTTCTTTCTAATTTATTTAATCTTGATAATCATGTTGTCATGCATGAACTGCCATGTGTCTTGTCACGTGTCACTGGGCGATTAAGGGGGTGAATTCATTGTTCCCTGTGTACATTTCATTGCGTGCAGAAACAATGAATTTAATATATTGCTATTAAAAAAAAGGTTTATGCTAATGGTTAAGGGTTGGGTTATCTTAGTTGTATTCTTGCATTTTTAATATACAGCGAGGCTAGGATGGGTGTTTGCCTTGTAGATTACACAGTAGTTTTTATAAATATATTTAAAATTAATATGTTGTTGGATGTTATTTCGGTGTGGATTTATATTTTTAATTATAATATATATATAGTAAAATAATTAATTTGCCTTTATATACAAAAATATTTTAACTTCTCAAGATCGGTGCTTTCGTCTTATTCTTTTTATTTGCACAGTCAAGTTACATCCTTGCCTTTGAGTTTCAATTTTTTATGCCTTGAATTTAAGGATTTTTTTATTATTTTATTATTGAATATGCCTTGAATTTAAGGATTTTTTTATTGATTTTTTTTTATATTAGGTAAGGTAGTGGTTAATTTTATCATTTAATAAATTAAAAATATTTTAAAAAATTTTTCTAAAACATGCCACACTAAATAGCACATGCAATTAATTCTAATAACTAAAAATATCATTCCAAAATGTTTTTAGATTCTCTTGATATCTATTTCATATAACAACATCACGTGTAGAAAAAAAAGAAAAACAAAAGAGTATTTATCTGAATCTGGTAACTATTTTTTTCTTTTCTTTTCTTTATCTCCCATGAATTTTATATCTTACCTTGTAATTTTTCAAATAATTTCCTTAACTTCTCTTTGTTTTCACTTCAATTTCTAAGTTTTTGATAGATAGTTGTTTTATTTGGTATAACTTATAAAAATCAAGTTGTGTTCCAATCTCATGTTCATTTGATTTTTTTACTTCTTTTTATCCCTGGTCATTAGGTGATATTTGTTTTATTTTATATAACTTTCAAGAATTAAAAATTATTTTAATTTCATTTTCATTTATTTTTATTTTTTAATTCTTTTCATGCCATTATTTTTTTAATTTATATTTATATCACATGAGATATTCTTTGTGATTTAGTTTTCTAACAACTTTATCCTCAGTCATTTTTTTCCTATCAATTTTTATTATTATTCTTTTATTTTTGTTTTGATAAATTTTTAAATTTTATATTTTTTATACTCAATGTCATCTTTTGACATTTAGTTGATTTTAATTTGAGTTTCCTAATTAAATCCATTTTAAAATTTTATGGGTTATGATTTGAAAAATTAACTCATATTTATTAGGTGTTTATGATTTGAAAAATTAACTCATATTTACTAGGTGTTGGTTTGGTTTTTTTATTACTTTTATAAAATAATATTTTTTAATTTTATTTTTTAATATTTATTTTATCAGAGATTAGGCTGTGTGTCTTTTTTTATATGCTTTCTGCATCATTTTTTTTACTTTTTATTTTTTTATTTAGTTGTGTAATTTAAGTTTTTTTTTATTTCTTGTTCTTTGTTAAATATATTTTCTTAAAATATTTTTAAAAAATTAAATAGAATTAATTAATTGAATAAGACATATACTCATTTTAATATGTTTTGTTTAATTTATTTTTTAAGGACACTACTTTAATAAACCATATGACTTTTTTCAATGTCATACTTAATTATTTTACAATGAAATTTAAAATTTCTCAATAAATTCTTTTTATAAATGATGTATATACTGGAATGATCATGAATGTTTATCAATCTTTACTTTTATATATATATTGATAACTTATTTTTTTAATTATTATCAGATGTTTTTTACAAATTATTTACTACTCTGATTTTCGATTTAAATGAAATTATTAAATCATTTATTAGATATAGTGAATTTAATGATACGATTACAGGGTTATCGTTCCCTGACTGTTCTTTTTTTATATTAAAAAAGTTAAATCAACCACAGATGTACTGCGATTCCGGTCAAGATGACACCTGTCATATGTGTTCTGTCACGTGGCATTATTAGCAAACCCATGTGGTTAGTGGGGCCAGCACAATTATTCCAAACAAACTATTAACCCTCGCCTTTGTGTTTCGTGTATCATAACCTAATAATTCAGGAATAAAAGACTTTCAATTTCAATAATAAAAAATCACATAAAAACAAACATATAAGAAGAAAATAATTACCTCTGAAAAAATTGATATGTCATGAGAACAGCACATAAGATGATTCTTGAGAATTCTTTTTTTCAATTTTATTTTATAAATTATTCCAATTTATTTTTTTATAAAATTATCATATTATTAGATAATTTATATTTAATTTTATAAGTATATATTTTTTATTGTCATATAATCAAGTAAAAATAGTATTTTTTTTAAATAAAATTCTTAAATTTTATAGAGTTTGCAACTCGAATTGTAATTTGACAGGTTAAATTATGAAGTCTAAATCGATTTAATATGTTATTATTATAATTTTTTAAGTCATTTTAAATTTATTCTCTTAAAATCAAATTAAGTTTTGTACCGGTCATCTAGTTTGTTCTGGGATCATCAAGTAAACTAGGTAAAGTCAGAGCAATTTTTACATGGTTTGATTCAAAACTGGAGCAAATAAGAAGTCAAGTTGAAAAATTTTAAAATTAACTCATTAAACTAAATTTAATAATAATATTAAATGTTTCTCTACGGACTAAATATTTTTTATATTTATGTTTTTAATCGGATCACGACATAGTGTCTAATACGTGTTTGTTTAAGAGTATGATTGTGAATTTTTTTTAAAGTGTTTTTAATGTTAAAATGCATCAAAATATGTCTAATACGTGTTTGTTTAAGAGTATGGTTGTGAATTTTTTTTAAAGTGTTTTTAATATTAAAATGCATCAAAATAATATTTTTTATTTTTAAAATCAACATATTAAAACGATCTAAAATATAAAAAAAATTAAAAAAACACCAATATAACTTCATTTTCGAACGCTCGTCAAAACTATAAGCCTATTGTAAAACTAATCACATTGCAAAATATTAAATAAATATTTTCTTTATTTTTTTTAAAGAAATTCCCAATCATATCTGTAAGTAGAAAGAAAGCAAGAACTAACAAACCTATCAAATATTAAAATACATAAATTTATTTTAACATCTATTCCTTCTTCACACAGCAAAGTTGTTTAATTTCGACCTTTATTATATAAATGAAGATTTGCACTTTAATCTTAATTAGCAAGAAAGCATCAAGCAAAAGTATCAAATGTCTCCGTGAGCACATCAAGTCCATTGAATTGATGTAATAGCTAGCTGGGAACCAATCTCTGTGATCTCTTTTAAAAAGTTTTTTTTGTTGTTTATAATAACAAAGTTTTTTTCGCTAATTTAACTTATTTGCCATCCTTTACAACAAAAAAGCTACTCTAAAATTTATGCATCACCAGTAGTCATATCTTAGCAGCCAGCAGGTTCCCTATTTTTTCCATCTCATCAAGCACCAACTTTTTGGGCGTCCATTTTTTCTTTCCTTTCCTTTTCCTCACCCTTGAAGTTCCTGCAACTTTCATTGTTCTTAAGCGTTTCCATCCATCCTCAAACTCCTTCCCTCTCTCTCTCTCTCCCCCTCTATACAGAACATACACTCAAAATTCTCATAATGGCAACAGAACCAAAGACAGACGCCAAAACAGAAGCTAAACAAGAGGCCAAAGCAGAGGCTAAAGAAGTGGCAGTGGAAGGAAACACAGAACCATCTCTCAAGTACAAGGTAACTAGATTAAGCCAAAAAAACTCGTCTTTCTAGGATAAAAATGCCATCTTTCCATGTTTTTAGCCTCATTTCCTTTGTTTTTCAGACGTGGGTGTTGAAAGTCTCGGTTCATTGTGAAGGTTGCAAGAGGAAAGTCAAGAAGATCCTGGATAGCATAGATGGTATGTAAATTAGCGTGAACCAGCTAAAACATAGCATTGAATTCTTGGTTATTTCTGTTATTTTCTGTTACATTCTTGCAATGTTTTTAAGATTCCCTCATATTTCTTATCTGGGTCTTTTTCATTTTCTTTCAATTTCAAACTCTCGGTAAAGTTATTAATTTCTTTCCAATATTTAGCTACAAAAGTTTCTTACTTTGTCTCTCAATTTCCCCCATCTTGGTTTTTATTCATTTTCACTCGTTTCTTTGCCAATTTTTTTTAATTCCCATCTAATCTTAAACCTTTAATTTCATAACTTATTGTTAATACTTCTGGTTATCTATTTGCTTCATCAAAGTTTCTAATTTTGTCCATTATATTTGCAGGGGTGTGCAAAGCAGATGTTGATCTAAGACTACAGAAGGCCACAGTAGTAGGGGATGTTGATGCAGATACTTTAATCAAGAAACTGATAAAAAAGACAGGGAAACATGCAGAGCTGTGGCCTGAAAAAGCTGATAATAATCAGAAAGCAGCAATGAAGAAAGGCAAAGCAAAAAACAAAGACAAGGAAAAAGAGAAAGAGAAAGAGAAAGAAAGAGACCAAGAGAGCAGCAATGAAGAAGGTGGTGATGGTGACAATAAGAAAGAAGTTAAAGTCAAGGCCGAAGGAGTAAAAATACAAGACCCTTCTCCTAAAAACAGTGAAAATGGCCCTAGTAAAAATAGTGAAGGTGGCAGTCATGTTGTTATTGGCAAAGCAAGTGAAGGTGGTGCTGCTCAAGTCAAGGAAGTAAAGGTTAATGAGGTTAATGCTAAGCAACCTGTCACCTCACCGTCCGGTGTCCAGTCACCGGTGGCTGACAAGAAAGTTGGTGAAAGTGAGGTTGTAGCTGAGAAAATTGGTGGTGGGGGCAGTCTAGATGGTAGCAGTGGTGCTAAAAAGAAGAAGAAGAAGGGACATAAAGAGAATAGCAGCAATAATAACAATGGGGATGAGGGTGAACATTCTGGTCACGCCCCAGCAGGTACTGGATCGCCAGGTCAAGGGCATGTTCAAGTCCAGATCCCAGCCCCAGCAAATCACATCCCTCCACGTCACGATTATGTGTATGACTACCCAGCAACTTACAATGCACCCCCGGTGTATGCTGTGAGTAGCAATGTTGCATACCCTAGTACAAGTTATGGTGCCTCATACTATGCCCCACAGTATTCCTATGCGTATATGCATCCCGGCACCCATCCGGGTACCATTAGCGAACCTCCGCCGCCTGATTTCCATCCGTACTACTCATCACAGACGTCTGATTCGTTTCAGTTTCTTAGCGACGAAAACCCTAACGCATGCTCAATCATGTGATATTGGCCTGACAAGAAGTGGCAATTATCACATTGAAGTATCGAAGCCTTATACTACTTGTATAAGTCTACGAGGGGAAAGTGTTATTTTTGTAATGCATGTAGATATATGAAAGGTAAAGTTCTTGTAGCTTTAAGATTAGGGGATAATAAGAGGGTGATTAGGGTTTGGCGTTTTTCTCTTTGGTGACGGGTGTTGCTGTTTCTAGCTTTATTTTGTACTTTTTACCGTTTCTAAGTTTCTTTTTTTTTAAAAAAAAATATTTATATATATAGCAGCCTTGATGTTTGCAGGCCCTCCTATCTTTTTATTTCTCTAATGTGGAAAGTAGATTAGCCATTTTGGCTTATTAGAATGTGATTACAGTGCGATTAGTGTTTAATTAGCATTCCAAAGCTTTATAGAGTTGGAGTTAGAATGTGTGTTTTTTATAAGAATTTGGAATAATCAGGGTTTTATTTATATTTATTATTATGTTTACAAAATATATTTTCTAAAAAAGGAGGTTTCTTCAAATCTTAAAAAAAAAAAAAAAACCTATAAGCACCCAAGCACAAGGCATTGACCTTCCATTTCCTTTCATTTTAATTTTAGTAATTTGTAATGTAATAGTGCCCCTTCCAAGGTATGTTATTGAACCTTTATTTAGTTATATCAAGTTTAAAATTAAATCAAATAAAAATTAATATAATTAACTCTGTATATCAAATCATGATCTAATAAAACTTGGACTGATTTTTAAATTATTTTTCTTTAAAAACCCAACATTTTTTTAAATAATCTTCGAACAATACTGTTTTGGATTTCCCAGATTATATATTCACGTACTGTTAAAAGCGGGAAGAAGCCGGTCCTGGTCTTGGTCCTCCTAGCAAAAATCTATTCATATAACTTATAGGTAACTGTTAAATTACAAGCTATCACTTGGATATATGTGTAGGCAGAATTTTCTTACATTTTATTTTAAATTAATTTATTTTAATTTTTTTATATGATATAATTTTAATGTGTTGATATTAAAAAATAATTTAAAAAATAATTATTATCAAAGTACTCATCAGTCTCGGACATTTGGAAAGTTTCTCTTTCTTTCTTGGAAATAACCTTTGAAGTTTGCGTTTGTCTGTCTCTCTTTTTCTCTTTTGCTTCTTTTTGTGTTTTCATTTCCATGATGGCGAGGGCTAATGCAAGACTGCCTTCCAAGTAAAAGCAAGTTTATTTCCTTTTTTTATTTATAAAAGAAAAGGCAAAGCTGTACCCTTCCTTGTAAATGCCCCTTCTTTTCTTTTCTGCCCCTCTCTCTGGGCTTGGAGAGGAAGGAACTTGTAAGGGAAGGCATTTGCGGTCAGGATCACAATGCTGCTTTATTAATTTCTACTTTGACTTAATTGGACTCTTCTGGACCAATATACCCTTTTGCCTTCTAACAGTGACTCTCTGCCAACTCCATTTGTATCATTCTGTTAATGACAAATTCCAATTAATTATTTCATTTCATGCACTAATTTAGTGGATTAAGGTGATTTTGAAAATACATTTTATAAATATTTTTTATAATTTTTTATGCCGATATATTTTAATCATCAAAAAACATATAAAAACACATTAATTTAATGTTTTTTAGCTAAAAAAATAATTTTTTTTTTTAAAACTAAAGCTATCACATTATCTTTTTTCCACGGCTTAGTTTGATCAGGATATGATTTTAATAATTTTTTTATGCCAACATATTTTAATTCTCAAAAACACATAAAAACATATTAATTTAATGTTTTTTAGTTTAAAAATAATTAAAAAATATTTTAAAAAACCAAAACTATCACAACACCTTTTTTCCACGGCTTAGTTTGATCAGGATTTTGCAACAGTAACTAAATAAAAAACTACCTATTCTTCCCTTACTAATCATTTTCAATCCCTAGAAATCTCTCTTCGAATTATTATTTTTTAATTCAAGTCCCCACGAGATGGTCATTTGGCACTCCGAAGCTTGATATCTAAGGAGAATCTTATTGTTTTATTCTTGTTCTTGATTGAGGTGTTCATTTAGCAAAATAAAGTTTTTTTTCAGGCCAATCATGAGCAGAAAATAAATAGTGCTACTTAATAATATAATTATTCAGACATGATCAAGATCAAACTTTAAATATAAACTAGATAGTCGATCCGATAAATTAACCTATAATCTAATCAGTCCAATTAAAATTTAAAATAGCATTGGTTGTATTTGTAAAAAAAATATATAGAACAATATAGTTCTTGCCCAGTCAATATCATGGACCGGCGAGAGAAGCAAACAAAATAATATTTCTCAGGAAAAAAAAAGAAAGGATAAGATTTGTATGGAGCAGTGATATGATTCAGGGAAAAAGAAGGGATAAGATTTGTATGGAGCAGTGATATGAAAGAAAATGATTCATCGAGAGAAGCGTGCGCAGTCAATCAAACACGGCATCTGCATATTCCTGACATCATTTACGAAGCAATTTCCATGTATTGGGAACCTGATTCCTTCAGTCCAATCCATCTTCCTTCCCAAGTTAACCACTTGTCTTTGAAACTCTAGTAGGCTAATAGAAAATATATCACCACCCGGCTTCGTTACGAGCGGGGCTAATTTTTTTATAATATATATATAAACAATGATTGGGTGTTGGTAGTATATTTTAATCAAGAAGAAAAAATTATGTTAATTTAATTATATAATAGAAAAAATAATGATAATAAATTAAATTTTTAAATAATAATAATAATAACAACAAAAAACAATTACAAAAAAAATTAAATTTCAATTTAACCTCAGCTATCATGCAAACTCGCAATAAAAGGTTAGTTTTCGCAATAAAAGGTTGAACTAACGTTATAAACAATAAAGATAATGATGATTAATTCTTGATAATTTAAATATATGACTTAAAAAATATTTAATAAAAAAACTCAAAAATAAAACACTTTCAAATCTTTTGAATCAAATTATATAAATAGGAAAATTTAATAAAAAATAAAATGAAAAAATAATGAAATTTAATTTTTAAAGGAGTTTGATTTTAAAAAATAAAATTAAAAAAATTATATATAAAAATAATTTAAATAAATAAATAAGTTAATCAGCTAAATCTATTATTAAGATCATCACCTCATTAAAATAAAACAGAAAAAAAAATTATAAATCTAATTTTTTAAAATAGATAACATTGAGAGGGTGATGAAATTTAAAAAAAATAAATGCAAAAAAAAAGAAGCTGACAAAAAGAGGCGTCACCTCACATAAAAGGAGGCGTCGTGGCAGTTAGCCACCAAATGATGATCCCACACACCCCGACAAAAAAACCGTGAACACTTTTCACTCATTGGTGCATGGGTGGTGTTAGCTATTTTGTATATTATATTTTATATTTATCACGATTTTTACTCGGTTAAATCCATTATAATAATAATAAAAAAAAAGTTTACATATATGTATAAAAGAAAATGTAAATTTGTAGTATATTGTACATTCCACATCTTTTCTTTTCTTTTCTTTTGTACCTCTCTGCCCCTCTCTCTGAACCGGGTCAGGAAGGTGCTTATTAAAAGAAGGAAATCACATTATGCTTCGTTATTACCTTCTACTTTGACTTAATTCGACTGTCTTGGACCAACATACCATTTCCTCCCTAATGGTGACACTTCGCCAACTCCGTTTGAACCATTCTGTTAATGACAAAATTTCCCAATTAATTATTTCATCTCATTAACTAATTAACGGATTATGGGTGCCTAACATGGTACTAAGTTGATTAGGAATTAACATCGGGTAGGCCCTACTGACCAGCACGCACTACAATCCTCTCGAGGGTATCGTGCTCATTCTTTCTTGAAAACGACGTGTAAACAGCCTTTTGTTTTCGGATATGTTTTAAAATTATATTTTATTAAAAAAATAAAAATATTTTTTAATATTTGTTATAATTTTAACATGTTGATATTAAAAATAATAAAAAATTATTTTAATATATTTTTTAAAATATTTTAAAAAAACATTCTATATTATAATAATACAAAAATATAAGGTTTGATAATAATTTTGAAGGAAAAAAAAAACTCAAAATGTACTATCTTTATTTGTTTTTTATGTTTTAAAAATATTTTTAAAAAATTAAAAAAAAAATTATTTATTTTAAATTAACATATTTTAAATGTTTTTAATATACTAATATCAAAAATAATTTTTTAAAAAAATTATTATCATATATTGTGATATTAAAAATTAATGTACAGAGAGCTCTCTCTGCTTTATTTTTTTATTGTTTTAATATTTCCCGCTAGACGGTCACTTGACAATCCGAGCTCGATATCAAAGGAGAATCTTACTGTTTTATTCTTATTCTTTATTGAGGTGTCCATTCTAACAAAGTAATGATTTTTAAAGGACAATGATCATGGGCAGTAGATAAACAGCACTGCTACATGATTACTGCAGTTTTCTCTCATCTCTGCAACTAAAACCAATGTTTTGGAAGATAGACAGAGCTGTATTATTGGGGTTATTGGGGTCTCTAGGGTCCCCTCAGCTTTGCTGATGCATTTTTCTTTGCACATGCTGTTCTATTAAACGAGCTGCAAAACCTAGAGACAAATTTAAGATTTAAACCAGTATTGCCATCCTATAAATCTAGTTCTCGACTGCAAAATAAACACAGGAGGAAACTTGTTAGGGCTGTCAAGCAATAATTCTTCGATACAGGACACGGCACAGACTAGGTTTCAAATTAATCTGTAAGTTTATATAGCATGTTGACTCGTGATCTAGTTGATCTCATCAAATTTATATTAATTTTTTTATTTTAAAATAATCATAAAGCGGTAAAAGATAAGATTTATTTTGACAGGTGTAAGCATGGAAAGATTCACTGGGCAATCAGTACCTTTTGTTTGAATTCAGTCAATCAAACATGGCATCTGCGTATTCCTGTCATCATTTACCAAGAAATTTCCAATTATCTGGAACCCGATTCCTTCAGCCCAATCCATCTGCCTTCTTTTTATGCAGAAAAAAAAGTTGATTTGGAAACAAGCACGAGCAGATTATAATTTAATCCTCGCAGCAAACCAAAATATTAATCCTTGTAGTTTTAAAAAACATATATGTTAATCTAATTTCTTAATCTGTTTGTAACTTAACCCTTCTGTCAATTTCATGTTACTTTCTATTATTTCTCAAACAACAGGACAAATGAAAGAGAATTATGTAAAATAGAAATCTTGACTGCAAAAAAAAAAAAAAGTACTTTCAAAAAGAATTATTAGATTGATAATGATCAACATTACTCTGTGGACTACTTAATTATTTATTCTACTACATCAGCAATCAGCAATGATTATGGATGGTGGTATAATAAAAGTACTTTAAAAAAGGATTATGATATAATAATTGTTTTTTAAATTTTTTTTATTAGAAATATATTAAAATAATTTTTATTTTATTTTTTAAAAATTATATTTTAATATTAGCACATCAAAATAATATGAAAATATTAAAAAAATAAAAAATAAAGTTATTTTTGAAACCCTTTCAAAGAACAAAAACAAACGGGATAAATGGTTGAATATTGGATAAGCATATACCAGAGTTAGAATTGCTGCACTCAAGTCCAGGCAATAAAAAATTGGAAGTCTCAATAACAAGGAAGCAGGCCCTCTCGAGAGTTGCAAGCTTGTTGTTTCGAGCCACTTGCCCGATTTAAAAATTGTGGGTGGTCACTATTGGCTCTAGTTATCCTCCAGAAAGGGGTGCAGGTTGCTGAGCACCTGCCCTCGTCCACGTGTCATCAACCCAATTGGAGTGGTTCATGTTACCGTTACCGTTCATGTATGGAGCTGGAGGAAATAGGTGTCAAATCTTATGAATTTCCATTGATAAGAGCTTCAGAAGTAGGTTTTTTTTAAAATAAAAAATAAAATGGGCGTGCATGTGTAATAGCGCAATAATAGTCTAAAGTATATTAAAAAAACACTCTTCTGCATCCATGTCATAATCAGAGATTAGAATGCACTGCTTAAAGTATTATATAATATAATATTGCCTATAATTCATGATTTAACATGTGTAATTATTGCATGTTCGGTGATCAATCGAATGTGTTTTCTAGCAATGCTGTTTGCATTAAATTAAGGTATTATATATACCGATATATCAAATTAATATATATTAATCTATCCTAATATAATATCTTCTATATAAATATATTTTTAATCTATTATTTTCTAATAATATTGTATTTTAAAGTAATCTGCTTGTATGTATAAATAATGAGGTATTATACCTTTTCAGTTTTTGGATCTTTCATTAAAGGTGATTTTAAATGTTTTTTCATCTGAAAGTAAATTTTGTTTGCCTATTTTCTCCATTACTGTTGAATATAAAAAATCAAGAAAAAACCTTTATAAAAAAACATTTCTCAGAAAACAAACAAAACCTTAAAGCAATTAAAGTTGTTGGCTTTTTTTTTTTTAATCCGTCAGGACATCGTATTGGAATTCATAAATTCATTTACGGTTTTTAAAAAAAAATTGGATTCAAACCTGAAATGATAGAGCAAATTCGCTCGCCGCCTTATTCAAACCTCACCAGTCTTGCTCCTTAATTTTCCACTAGAAAGTTAAAACTTGTTTGCAGCGATAGTAGCAGCTTCTTAAAGCATATCTGTAATGTGATAGTTGTTTTATTTTTTTTTTATTTAGAAATATAATAAAATAATATTAATTTTTTAAAAACAATTTAAAAAATATTTTTTAAAAAAAATTAAAAAAACACTTTTAAAATACAAATAGTACATTATATCATAACATAACAAACTCTCTTATATTAGCATGTGATTATTGCTATTTATTTTATTTAAATCAACAAACAAATAATACATTATATTTTATTTTCTATGGTTTTCTATTTAATTGAATTTAGCTCTATTATTATAAAAAAGCAATATAAACATAGTTTTTAGACTTGGTCCGGTTTAAGATTTGGGTTTTAAGTTTTGACCGGGTTACCAAGTTGCCCAAGTTAATTTTTTAAAATTAAAATAATATTATTTTAGTAATAAAATAAAAATCAACGGGTTGTAATCGGGTTTTTGACAATCTTGCAAGTCAATTAGGTTACAATGAATTTTTTATTTTTATTTTTTCTTCAATTCGGTTTGATTGCTATCTTGGATTAGCCAAATTCTAAATCATAGTTTTAAGATTCGGTTAAGTAACTGGCTCCGTTTAAGATTCGAGTTTCGAGTTTTAACTAAATTACTGGATTCTGACTCGTTATTGAGTTGACTAAATCAAATTTTATGCCAAATTTTAAAACTATTATCGCAAGACGCACAAGCACCAAATGCATGAGTGATTATAATGTGTTAGTTTAGAGAAAAAGAATTTCTTCTGTACTGATTTGATTTTTTCTTTTATTTGAAAACAAAACTCGTTTTTTTCTTAACTTTGAGAGACAAGAAACAACTATCTGTGGTGTTGTTCAGAACCCTAAGAAAAAAATGAAAACGGAAGGAATACCAGAAAAGTTATTAGATGTCATTTTCACTGAGATTTAGGAAAGTCCATCCATTGCCTATTGGTCATGGATGGTCTCTTTAAAGGTGAAAAAAGAAGACTATGTTTGACTTCTTATCTCGCAATTATATCATATTTTCCATAAGAATTAAAACCCTGTTCTTAAATAGGCTGTATTGGTACTCGCCACCTGCCTTGATATGCGGTTATGCATTGCTTGGGCATCTTAGAAATTCCACTTGAAATTATATTTTAGTGTGTTTTAAAAATGTTTTTAATTTTAAAAAATATTAATTTTATTTTTTAATATTTTATTATATTAATATAAAAAATTATTTTAATATATTTTCAAATAAAAACTAAATTTAAAAATTATTTTACACCACACTGTCAAATATACAAATATCATAGAATAAAATCTAGTTTAACTAAATTAAATGTATTTTAAATTAAATTAAAAAATAACTATATATTTATTTATATTGAGTTTTTCTTTCCAATATCAAAATGGGGTATGTTTTTTCTATATTAAATTTGAGATCGTTATTTTTTTAATTTTTATATTTAACTACAAATAAATTTTTATTTTATATAATTATTTTCAATTCAACATCAAAATATCATTCCACACTTTGTATGTATTAAAAAAATTTAAATTAATAGACGTAATTCATATTTTACATCTATTTTATTAAATAGATGCAATGCATATTAGTAGTAATAATAATAATTATTGATATTAATAATAGGAACACACCACAATATTATTATTTTTGAAAAAAAAATCACTATCTCCGTATGCCCCGTTTTCGTTGACCGTTTCCTTTTTATTACTAAAAACACTTGGCGTGGAGACTGACACTGTTATGGTTGAATCCCTGTTCTGTTTCTTTCAAATTACCATTATGTTGATAAAGAGACTCTTGCTATTTCGGTCGAGCCTGCCAGTGGCTGTTTCCCTGTAGATTATGTTTGTTGTTGTAGTTCAGCATTGTTTTTCAATTTTATTTTAATGTTTTTATATTAAATATACTGATATTAAAGATAAAAAAAAATATTTTTATCTTTTGAAATGGCTGTTCGGAGTGAAAGAAACGGCTGATAAGGTGGGAAGGGAAATGGTGAAAGTTGAAATCAGGGCAAAGGAGACAATTTTGAGTGGAAAGTGTCCAGATTTAAAGATGAGACCGTTGATTTCATGACGGTTTCCTATCAGGCTGCAACGGAGGTGCATTTTGCCAGGATACAGAGATGTGGGATCTACAATGCTGGTTTTGAATGCCTTGGGGGTATATGGAACGGGAGGTGGTGGAAAGATAATTTGTTCAAAGAAGTTGTAATTGCAACTTTATCCCAGAATTCAGATGTCATATGTCAGTAGGATTCGAGTGGAGATTGCAGAACAACTTGGGTTTTTATTCAGTATAGAAATTGAATTAGGGATAGCCAAATCAATTACGCAAGAGGCTGGACGAAGAGGAAAGGTTGCCGATGATCGGCGGAAGATAATTGATATACAAGCAGTCGGAATTCCTCTTCCTCCCAACCATGGATGCAAAAATATTGTTGACTTGAAACGTCGAGGTTTTAGCAAATGGGATGATTTAAAAGACCTCTATGTTGCTTGCGAGCTGTTTAAAAACATGGCAGGAAAAGATTTCCAGAAACACCGACTTTTATATGAACATTTAAATTGATAGCATAGTAGGTATTTCAGCTATATCTTTAAGAGGCCTCGCGTTAGAAAAACCTTAGGCTTGTGTAGCTTGGAGTAGAGCTTAAGATCTTGCCGCAAAATATTTTTTATTTAGAAAAATGTGTTATGAATTCTAATTATAAATACGATGAGTAGCTTCACAAGAAGACACCATAGTTATAAAACTCGGGTGAAAACACAGCCAAAGAAGACGTACCAAAAGCACCAGTCATCAAGGCGTAACCACATTCCTAAATGTTTCTTGACAGGCATAGCTTGTTGGCAAATTTAAGCCTCTCCAAATTCTTGCAGGGCATGAAACAAGAAATTCAGGTTTGTTCTATGAGTTGTGCTGGCACCACACTTTTCAAACTTGATCATATGGGGTTGTCGAAGCACAAAAAGTTGTTAAGGTTTTGTCTTTTGAACAAAATATATGGCCCGATGAATTCCTAGTTCTAGCAAACCCATTATAAAGTCTTGGAGGCCATCTAGTAACGTGTTATTAATCCCCTCTGACACTACCGCCTCATTTCGAGTAGAAAGACTTGGAAATAGCATGCAAGTTTAGAGGCACTTCCGACTGCAAATGATCGCAATACTAAACGGGTCTTCAACGTGATGGAGATTGCCCCCACCTCACTACAAATTGAGGATTCTAGAACTTCCAAAACTTGAATGGAAAATTATTAAAATCTTGGACATAACGAAATTTGAAAATATAATAGCTAAGTAATAGATTCTTGTTCGGGTAGAGAGCTAAAAGAACATGGTTCACGAAAATGAGCAGTTATCACTTTCTTGCACTAACAATGTTTAAAGAACAAAAACAAAACTCTAATGCAGTTACTGCTGGCGGAGTTCAGTCTTCTTCTTTTGCCAAAGCCTGTCCACGGCACTGTCAGCATCACCCTGGAAGTATATCAGCATATTCACATGTGAGTTGGGTGAAAAAAAAAAGCTAAAAATGAATCAAGGCATCAAGAGAGTGATAAACCTAACGTTATATCTACAAGTGAGGGTATAAGCAAGGAACCTGATACATTTTACGTTAATAAATTTCAGGGAAAATCAGTACATTGTGTGAATAAGGAGCTAAACGCATAGCCATGAATGAATAGATGCAACCAACATAGCAACATATTCACTAAGTCCTATATGACAAAATAAGCCTTTTCTCTCCAATGAGGATCTCTTCCATTTAAAAGAGATGATGGTTATACTATCCTATTTGAATGATGAAAGATAGGGTTATCTAAATCAGATCCATTTGTAGAATGGGCCACGACTTGAACCAAGACAAAAGCAAAGTGCGCTAGCAGTAAGATGCTATACAACATAAACTCAAAAGGCTATAAAATAAAAAGGACCCCAGCCAATCAAATATCCAGTCCCTGTAACTCAAAAGTCTGCACCTGAATTTCTTGCTGCATTAAGAACTACAAATCACAAATATAGTTTGGTTTGTAAGAATATATAAATGTTAGAAAGCCCTCAGATCTCATAGCTTCTTAGAATCACATATGATTTAAAACTAATGGCATTCATCAAAAGCCTTCACACAACACCACAATATATAAATGTGTGCAAAAGTGTGGAGATGGTGGTGGTGGAGGAAGTGAGGTGGTGGTGAGTGAAGCCTAGTGATGAACAGCACATTAGCAACCATTCAACAAAGTTTATGTTGTGCATCATCGGGCAAAGCATAGAAAAACAAAACGGAACCCCAGTCAAGAAAAGTAGAACCAGAATGTGTTTACTAGCAAAAGCTAAAATATTAAGTCCTTGAGATAAATGAATATTATCAAAGGATAAAACTAAATATCCAAAAAGGAGACCAACAAAAGCATGGCATTATACTATCAACAGAAAACTGATCGAGTTATTAGTGAAGAAGTGGAGACAATAGTTTTGGTTTTTTAAAATGAAAAAAAAGTTAAAAAGCCCTCAGATCTCATAGCTTCTGAAAATCATACATGATTTTTTGCTAATGGGGTTCATCAAAAGCCTTCACACACCACCACAAAGTGTACTTTTGTGTGCATAAAAGGTGTGTGGCGGAGGTGGTGGAGGCGGATGAGGTGGGGAGTGAAGGCTATCGATGAACAGGCCATTTGCAACCATTCAACACATTTTTGTATTGTGCATCATTGGGCAAAACACAGAAAATAAAACAATAAAATCCCAAGAAAAGTAAAATCAAATTATACTTACAAGACAAAAATCAGACATCCATTATCAAGATGGGTGGATAAATATAACCGTACGAATAAAAACAAAAACAAATCATCTTAGAGGATTTTGATAATCCAAATGGAGGCACTTGACTATCCAACAAGGGAACTAATAAGCCATTAGATCCAAAAGAAAAAAGGCCACAGAGGATACTTTAAGCATGGTCATTAACTCTTTCCCAGACTAGAATCCTAACCCAAAGAATCCATGTTCTAACGCCATGACAGCCCCATCTACATAGGTCCCAACACTACCCATCTCCATTGACTGGAACCTTTTATCAAGGGATATTAAAAAAAACGAAAAAATCAACAGCAGCAGCAATAACAGACAATAAATAAGCTACGTTTTAACAAAGAACACCAAAAAAATCACAGCATATTTCTAATTCGAGGCAAGAAAAATAAGAGCAAGAAAAATACCTGGGCACGGACGAAGCCACATAGCGCAAATGTGGTGAACTGGCCAGTGTAACGACCACTGGCATCCAAATGACCAATATTAATCTGAACAGACGCATGGTCCTTGGAGGTGATAAGCCTGTTTGTGGCGGAGCTGCAAAACAACATAACAATTAAAGAGACCTTAACTAAGATTCCTTACCTTTAAAAAAGCAACCCAAAAATAGACAGGCAGAGAAAGTTAAGATACCATTTCCTGGGGATGTAAAGATCCATGTTTTGTCCCTCTTCGTTCTGCATCTTGTCTGGTTTTGATTTGCTACCCCAAATACAGTTTAAGCTCTAAATCACCTGATTTTACAAACAACCCTTCTTTAAGAAACTTGCGCACTTCACAGTTATTATCAAAGAAAAGGAGGATAGAGAGAGAGGGAGCACCTGGAAGAGGAGAGGCTGCCACTGCTAGGGTAAGCTGAGTAGGAGATGAAGGTTTTCTTTGCGGTGTTTTATATGGCTGCAGAACCCTAGTGTTTAGTTGTGATTATATATGGACGGAAATGCCCCTGATGACTTTGCTGTTTAATGCTAAACGTTGCCGTCTGTTTGAAAACTTCGTCTGTGTGTTGTAAGTGCATCCATCGCCTCTATATAATTATTTTAGGATATTTTCCTAACTATGCTTCTTTTTTTAATATACACACATATAAAAATTCTTTTTAATTTTGTTAGGTGAAAAGATTTTAAAAAAAAAATTTACATACAATATCAATCATGTAGTTGTTAGATATGATTCAAAATCGTACAAAAAATAAAACTAGTTTATTAGATTAATTTGTGTTGACTATTTTAATTAAAACAATATTTTTTTATATTATTTTGATCATCATTTAGCTTTATCATGTCAATTAAATCTCTAAAAATATAAAAATATAACTAAGTTAAAGGAGTTTATTAGGTTGATATTTTGTCTTGCTTAGTTTAAAACTTACCCCAATTAAACATTAAATCTTAATTTTTTTTAAATCAACATGTAGTTTTTTAGGTGAACACGTATGGTTTGATTTAACCATTATGATATCAATATAGTTCTTGAGTTTTTTTTTAGAAACAAGAGGCAAATATAATTTAGGTGATTTTTTCTTTTATATTTGATTTGGAAATTAAGTAATGCTGCTTTTACGAGAATTCTCTCCGAAATCTCTTTCTAAGATCTTCATCATATCACACTCTTGGATTTAATTTTTTTAAAAGCTATTTAAGTAAACTAGGATTATTCTTCGAGTATTGAAATGGACGGTAGATAAAGAAATATATATTTCTTGAAAAAAAAAGAAGAAAAACTCGAAGGTTTCCTCAAAAGTGATGCAAAATATGAAAAATTGAAGGCGTGAGCTGTAAATTATCAAAGTTCAAAGCTCTCTGGCAAGTGCTCGTGATTACGTTGTTGCGTGCTTCGTGGCAAAACTAGGGACAAGCGGGGTCGGGCCATTAAAAAAACCCAATAATATCATGGCTTGAAAATAATAAATTTAATTTTATAATCAAAGCAAGTAATATTTAAACTTAGACATCCTAGAAAATTATCATAACTTTGTCCGTGATCATAAACATGTTTATTTTTTAATTTTTATTAAAAATAAATAACCAAACTAAAATTTAAAAATAAAATAAAAATAAACCAAAAACAATTTGATTTGATTTTTTAAAATAAAAATCAGTTTAAACTAATTTGACTCAATTTCTCAGATTAATTTTTACTTGATTTAGTTTAAGTTTTTTTTTTATTTTTTTGTTTAGATTTGATTTAGTTTGATTTTTTAGATTTTATAAATCAGAAACCTAACCACATCGGTTAATTTTTTTAAATTTTAATCAATTTTTTTATTTGATTTTTTTATTTTCTGGATTTAATTAGTTTTTTTATTTTTTTTTATCTCTGTGTAATTATATATTATTATGAGTTTAGAGTTTTTTGAGTTTTTAAAATGTTTTTTATTTTTTAAAATTATTTTTTTATGTTTGAATTAAAACGGACCCATTGATTTCCGAACACGATTTATATTTTAGGTTAACAACAAACAAGCCATCGTGTAAAAAATCCTAGATATCAGTATATAATTCATTTACAAAAGTAAAATTAGGAATATACATATTTCTTCCCGCCAATTCCATAGCGAGAAAATTCTCATCTCTTTATCGCTACACGCATCTGGGGGAAAGAGAGAGAATCACAAAGATGGAGCTGAGTCTCAGCGGAAACGCACTGAAAACCTTCGCTCGCTCCATCACGTGCCTCTCACGTATCGGCAACGAGCTTGCCATCCAAGCTTCTCCTTCTCAGGTACTCTCTCCTTCTCACTTTCCCTCTCTCCAAACACGTTCGGAAACTGAAATTTGTTGTTCTTTATCATCAATTAGCTTGTAATCACTATTTTAATTTATTTCATGTTTTTTTAATTATTTTAGTTCTGATTTTAGGGTTTTAAAATAGAGAAATGCTAATTACACTCACTCTAGTAGGAATTAAGTACAAAAAAGCATTATTGGTTGGTTAATCATCGATTAGGTTTTAATTTTGGGTACATTTCTCCAGCTTTCGCTCCACACGCTACATTCATCGCGATCGGCGTACCAGTGTATTACATTTAAGGCGAGTTTTTTTGATGTGTATACAGTTTCCGGCACTGAAGTCAAATTCAGTGTGCTTCTGAAGGTAATTAATGGTCATAGCCTTTTAATTTGAGATTAGAATTAAGTAATGGTGTTAGGTAATCTAGCGGTGTTGATTAATGTGTTCAGGCGATTTGTTCGGTTCTTAGGACGCCAATTGCAGGTGTTGATCATCTGAGTGTGCATTTGCCTGATCCGGATGCTTCTAAAGTGAAATGGACTTTGGAATGCTTCAATGGTAAATGTGTTTGTTTTTTAGTGCTCTGTATACTACTTATTTAATCGCTGTATACTTAATATTGGGAAGTGGGGACGACTGGTGGTTGGCTCCTTTATATGGTTGGTGAGAATAATATCTAACGGATACTATAGTAGAGTTTGCTGGCAACAAAGTGAGAGTTCAACTGCTACTTCGGGGGGAATTATATATTTATGCATTTTATGCAGGGAAACCATGGAAGATTTCATTTCAATGATAGTAGTAAGAAACATGGTTACTCCAGTATGTTTCATGCCTTAGTGTCCAATAGAGACTTGTTGAGTTGATTTGTAATTGAAGGTCAAAGTTAGTTGTGACTAGTCCCGACAAGAATTACAAAGCAAGGAAGCTAGTAAAGTGACAATGTGCCCCTGTAAATACCATCGTATTCCTTGAATTGTGTTTTGTGGCATTAGCGTTTTCAAATTTGAGGTTCCAATTGAACTACTGATGTTGCCCACATCCTTTCATTCTTGACTGTTTGCTTGGAGTGCTTCTGTGAAATGCTGTTATCGGAGATTCAGAGTACAACCATGATTACCACTCAAGTTTAATTATGCAGTGTGTTATTCAGTTCTGCCATCCTTTTTTTTTTTAACAGCTAAATGGATATATTTGATTCTTTTATGGTCACAACAAATTCATAACTCCCATGTTCAGGTATGAGAAAATCCTATTGGATTACTTGCAATGTTGAGCCGGACATACAACATCTGTCTCTTGACAGGAGAAGATATCCAAGCAGCTTAGTTGTGAGACCTCATGATCTTAACAGGTTGCTTGCCAATTTTCAGTCATCACTCCAGGAGATCACCATCATTGCAACAGAACGTGCATCCATGGCTTCTGACACTGAAAATGAAATAGGAGGAAAAGCAGTTGAACTTAGAAGTTACATGGACCCAACCAAGGGTGCGAACTCCTGATTTTTTGCATTCCTGACCATTTCAAACAGGATATTCATGCTTCAAATTTTCAACTGCAGACAACGACTCTTCACTGCACACTCAGCTGTGGATAGATCCAGCTGAAGAATTTGTCCAGTATACTCACAGTGGAGACCCTGTGGATGTGACATTTGGTGTGAAGGAACTGAAGGTTTAGTGGTCCTCTGATCCCAGAGCATATCGTTTTAGTTTTCATAACAGTTGTGCCATTTGCTCAAGTTGACTAATCCTTATTCTTTTTAACAACCCTTTATGACATTTAAATGGAGATTAATGCCAGCTAATCATGGTTCCTGTTATAATTATTGTCATGTTATTTTCTGGTTTGATTTTTATATTTTGACCAAAGAGTTAACATGTCTATTTGGGGGCTTTCTCATTATTTCTAAATTGCAGGCATTTCTTTCTTTCTGCGAGGGTTGTGAAGTTGATATTCATTTATATCTTGAAAAGGCCGGGGAGTAAGATGTTTCTTCTTTATGTTCCATTTATTAAACTTTTTCATTTTCTTGCCTTCTTGCCCTTTGCCCCCTTCCTGAAGAATGTTTACTCATTTTATGAGTTTCATGTTCAACCACTGGGTTCAGCCTATCTGCAGACTGACCATGATGTTAAGTATCCATTTGGTCACAAATCGAAGCCTTAGCATGCTTCCATGTGAAAAGTTTCTGGCAGTCTTCATCCATGAATATGTGTGTGCACTCAGCATGACCTTGATTTATTATTACATTAAGCTAAAGAGATAAATTTCTGCAGATTGAATGCAATTCAGTGGAACATTAGCCTAGAAGTGTTGCTATTAATATTAGTATTTGCAGATTGATTTGCATTGCTTAACACTGAAAATTCAAACCTTTGTTAAAAGAGAAGCTAAATCCCAAGTTGTATTGCATCAGTAATTCAGACTCATGCATTTGTATGAAACCATTAATGCACACTGCATCAGCAGCCCTTGTTTGTTTTTTCTTACCATTGGGGATTCAGTATTAAGATTGTCTAAAAATATGATTCCATTTGAGCAAAAACCATTTGTTGGTATACAGGCCTATTTTAATGGCACCAAAATTTGGTCTGGATGATGGATCCAGCTCAAACTTCGATGCTACTCTTGTACTTGCAACCATGCTTATATCACAGCTCCATGAAGGAAATCCACCAGAACCTCCACAAGCCACGGCACATGGTGGGGCTGCAGATGGGACAGGGTCTCAAGGACAACAAGAGAGATGTGGAGTGAATGTATCTGAACATCCATCTGATCACACCAGAATTTGGTCTGAACTTTCAGGTAATTGTTCAAAGTTCCAATGCAGACTTTATTTGTGCACCTGCAAATCTTGCATACTTTCACTTCATGCAGGAAGTGCAGCAAGAAGTGGTGGTGGTGGTGGTGCTGAAGCAAGGGAGGCTCCAGGAGAAAGAGACTTGAATGCTAGCGAACAGACGGAAATCCAAAGGATCAGCACAATGCATATATCCAAAGACACATCCGCTAGAGAAAATGTTGCTCTGAATCCTAGTCTGTATCCTAACTGTTACTGTTTGTTTAAGTATGTTACCTTGTCTGGTTATGTGATTTTTAGATTTCTCATCGCTTTAATTTCTAGTGACGGAACTTTTCATCTCTTTCTCTCAAAGTATGTTTGGTGGGCAATGTCTCCAGTCTTACA